ACACACACACACACGCGGACGAAGTGGACGTGCCGGCGGCCCCCACCCCGCCCCTCCCGCGCCCCCCTTCGCAGCGCCCACGTCGTTTGCTCCCCGACCCCGCGAACTCCCCTCCCCCCGCGGGACTCTCGCCGGACGCCACGCAGCCCCACGCGGCACTCACCCGCGGCCGCCGCACCGAAAAAACGTCACCGACGGCAGCCGCCCCCTCCCCCACCGAAGCGCCCGCAGGCGCACTGCCGCCACGCAGCACGTGCACGAGCGCCGTTCCGGCGACCGCCACTTCCCCCGAGTCCTCCGGCAGCCACGCGCCCCGCCCGTGCACCGCCGCAGCCGCCGCAGCCGCAGGGCGCACACATCATGCGGGACGCCGTGCAAAGTGACGCTGCCTCCCGCAGGCGTCGTGCGGCTTTTTTTGTTTTGTTTTGGCGCAGCGCGACTGTCTGCGCCTCCGTGACGGCGGCGGACGAACACCTCGCGGCCGCACTCCCTTCACACACACACACAGAGAGAAGTGTGGGGGCGAAGCTCAAAAGAGAGCCCCGCACACACGCCGCAGCGGGCGGCACGGCGCAGGCGAAGTGCGACGCCCCCGTCCTGCGAGGGGGAAGACACGCGGAGGAGAAGCCGGCCGCACACCGCACGCCCGACAAGGCACGCGGCGAGAGGGACGGGGCGGGTCCAAAGCCCGCCGCACAGCCTGCCGCAGCGGACAACAAAAAAAGAGCCGTCGTCGCCGCAAACTAAAGTTGCCTCTAGCGGGAAGGAGGAGGAGGAGTAAATGGGGGCGTGTCGGCGGCACGGCCGGCGGCGGGGGATCAAACAAGACGCGGAGACACGCAGCGACACAACGGCGGACACGGCGCACAAACTCAACTTGAGCCGCGGTGAGTTGCCCCAACGAAAAAATTAAAACAAAAGAAATGGAGGCCCCGCAACGCCCCTCGCAAAATAAAAACAAAAAACGAACTCACCTCGGCAGGTGGTGTTCCTTCACCTCACGTGTCCAGAAGCACAAGAGGACCGTGAGAGATGCATGTATACTTTAACACCTGCAAGAAGAAAAACCATCGCCCATGCTGCATGAGCCCACACATCCTTCGCCCATTTCATGCGGCATTCGGCCCGCACTTCAACACTTCAGTTGCGTCAAAATCCGTGCAACGCACAGCAATGCGGCCGGCACTGCCTGTGTGTGTGGGTGGCAGCAGCAAACAGGAGGGGGAAAAGGGGGCGCCGCCCGTGGGAACGTGCATGGGGCGGCCAAGCAACAAAAAGGAGAAAAGAAACCATTCCTCAGAACACAAGAGAGAGTGAAGGATTGACCCACAGGGACGACAAGCAAAATGAGCGCACAAATCTTACGCGTCGTCCCTGCCAGGGTGTGTGGGTGTGTATCTTTTGCCCCTCACCACTGCCCAGCAGCGCAGGCAAGGACAGCCGTGAGGAGCAACAGCGGAGAAGCACGCACAAACAGAGCGTTGGTGGCACTGCGATCCGCAGCATTTGTCACGGCTTTCTGAGTGGTGTTGCTGTTGGTGGCACTGCCGTCCGCGTTGCTTTTCGCGCCGCTCCCATCACTCGGACTGTTGGTGGTCGCCGTCGTTGTGGTTATTCCATCATTGTCGCTGGCGGGAGCGGCGGCGTTGGGCGTGCCAGATCGGCCTTGGGGGGTTGAAGATGTTTGTGTACCTCCGTGTGCATCTGCTGCCCTCTCCCCTGCCGTCTGTGTTGACGAAGCCGCAGTGCCAACCGACGGTGTTGGTGTTTTTTGAGGACCTTCTGCCGATTGTTCCTGACTTCCGGTGAGACCAGCCACAGTGCCCGGCAGCCCTGCAGGAGCAGTGGGTTCTCCAGGCACCGACCGACTGACGCCTGATGGATTGCCCTCGTGCGCAGTTTTGACAGGGGCTTGAGGTGCTGGCAGCCGTTGTGGCGACGATCGTGTTGCTGCCCGTGGACCGGCTGTTTGCTCTTGTTCCTGCGGTTGGGGTCCAGGCTGCGCTTCAGCCGCGGTTTGACTGGAGGTTGGGTACTCACAACCGCCTGACGCGCCCAGTGGATTGTCCGTTGGATTGA